GATTTTTTAATTTGTACTTTTTTACTAAGAAATCTTAACGAACATTACTTACAAATACTATATTATTACTAGAAATGACTATCATGTTGTGGCAGGAAAAAAACCTTCTCCTTTCCGCTTCCCGAAGACAAGTAAAAATATTGTTTCCTAGATGTCAAGTGCTTGTCGCATTATTGAGTGTCAGATTAACAATTATCAGAATATCAAGACTGTGCTGTACTTGTGTTATATTCATGTTATATTATACTGAAGTTGCACAAACATACAAAATTAGTCAGTCTCTATTTCAAGATTACTTCAATTAGTTAAGTCATCAACTTCTGGAATAAAATACAAAGTTCTGTGCATTATATAAAACCTTAAAGCCTTCTGACAATCTTCATTTCTTATCTTATCTACATAGCATTCATTAAAATTGCTCGATGTTTATTTTCGTTATAATTTATTCCTGTTCAAAGTAGTTTGTAAATAATAAAAAATTAATATTTTTAACTCTATATTTTATTATTATAATTTTTTGTTTTTAACAGATTAGCTATTACTGTCATTCTCGTGTTTATATATGATATAATAACGTAATAGAGATATAACTCCATTTCTGAAGTAACATGAGAATGTTAACTGTTTTGTTTTTTTAATTATCAAAGTTATTTTTAATTAATAAAATATATATTCAGTTCTAGTTAAGAACCTTCAAGATCTACTCAGAGGAAGAGATGAATCACATTTAATCAACATTATTTGCTAAATTATAAATCCAAAGTCTTTAAATGATGGCTTCTAGAAGTGGTACTAAGTTGTTGATCAATTGAGAAAAATGGTTTATAAAAACATTATGAGTATTGTTTTGAATAGACATTTGAAATTGAAAGAAATAATAGATTTAGCATATTGTCTGTTGTCTTGAGTCATCACAAACCCTGGTACTCCCTGTAACCACATTCACTATAGGATATAGTAAGATCCCTTGAACTTGTTATCTCTATTTTAGGCAGTTTAAATGGATTTAAAGACATTGAATGTAATGTCATATCTATTATAAATGTAATGACGTCTTTTTATTTAGCAAAGGGATAAAAATATTGGTTATAATGGTGCAATAGTGAAAAAGGAAGGGGGAGCTCAAAATGTAAACATACTTCATAAATATAACCACATTGTTTTCCCTCTCATCCATTTCATCGCCATGTCCTGCCTCTTCTTTGTGTTTCATTTGAAAATTTAGTTTTGTTGAGGACTGTTCTAGTAATTCATCAGTGTATCAAAAATTTTGTGATGAGTGATTTGTGAAAATGGCCCAGAAATGAAAATCCTCTCTTGAGGATAAAATTCACATTTGCAATAGAATAACCAATGGTGAAAGCAACAAGGACTTGGCAAAGAAACTACACGTAAGTCTTTCTACAATATGGAAAAAGAATGATGAATATAGAGAAATTACCTCCTCCAATAGTTTAAAAATGTCGAAAATCCCACTTTAACAATGTTGAATCAGCCCTTCTTATTTGGCTTAAATTAAAAACAAGCCAGAACATAGACATTGTTAAGAAATTTTGTTTCAACTATAATGTTAGTTTAGAAAGCTTTAGATTTTGTACTCCCTCAAAAAAATAATAAAAAATGTAGCAAGATCCCTTTATTTATATTATATTAATAATTGCTTCTACATTCACATTGACAAATAAATAACTGTATTTTTTTCATCCTTAGTCACAGTCAACTATATCTCTGTCACTAAAAAAATAAATACATATATATGTTCATATTTTGCATTATTTATTTATAATCAGGTCCCTTAAATTATTTCATAATTTTAAATGTTAATTTATATGCAATGTTTTTGATTTTTTAATTTAATTTTCATAGACTTTAAGGATATCTAGTTTTACTCAATTTTTTTAATATATATATATTTCTGAAAATTTACTTAGTCAAATATGTGGATATTTAATTTTAATGAAAATCTGGATCGTAGTTAGAACCAGTACCAACTGTACAAGACTGAAAATTTTGAAATTGGAGAAAAATTAATTTTCGAAAAGTAGCACTTTATTGAGAGTGTGAAATAAATTAAATGTAAAATTTCTCAACATTTAAGAATATTAAAAAATTTAACACAAAATTTAGGCCTCTATTTCAAGGTATTTATATATGTAATTTAAGCCCAATTACTGCTTATTTCTCATTTAATATAACTTTTTTAAAGTACTTAAATTAATATAGTTCAACTTATACTATAAACCCACAACTTTATTGAAAAAACTTATCTTTGGAACTTTTATTTTAAAACTTTACCATAAAAGTTTCAACCCCTGATTTTTAGGGAGCTTTGTGGTAAATAAAAACCTTACTTGTTTATTTCCGTGGTCAAAGTTTGGGGGTCTTCAGAATTGGGGAAAAACATGAATCATAATATCTGAGCAGTGAAAGTAAGTTTTAACAATGAAATTTATCTGTAGAACTGAAAGAAAAATAAATGGCTGCACTTTATTAATGGTCAAAGGAAAAAAAAAATATTTGACTTCTTTTATTTTTATAAACATGGAGGGATTAATACTCACAATATATTTATATATATAAAATTGAAAATGATCGAGCAACAAACTTAATCCATTTAGACCACTTTGTATGGATTGATCTTTTGCTTGGTTGTGGGTTTAACAAAATTGACTTAAAATAAAGGAGAGATTTATAATGAGCAGATAGAAGTAGACAGCAGTATCTTTACCTCAAAATTATTTTATTGCACATTAAAACTAAATGTCAAAATCATAAAATATATCCAATCATAATTATAACATAACTCAAATAAAATACAAAAATATTAACATTTATAAAAGTTTTAGTATTTACAAATATATTGTTTCCTAACTTATAGTTTTTGTTTTTACATACATTATTGTTTTTAACATATAAAAGATAATAGGAGAAAAGAAGAAACTCTGGAAAGAATACCTCGAGCACAAAACACTGGAGGACTTCGAAAAGTACAAGCGGAAAAGGATTGAGGTCAAAAATAAAGTTATAGAGGCCAAGAGGACAACCTGGGCAGATTTTGGACGAAAATTGGCATCGGATTTCTACCAAAATCAAAAGCTATTTTACCGAGTCCTCAAAGGATTAAGAAAGGAAAGATAGCCAATTCTGAAGAAATTCGTCAAAGACAAGGAAGGAAACATTCTCAGGCAGAAGGATGAGATAATGGAAAGGTCTGTTGAATGAAAATGGACAGACACCCTGTGTAGATGAAGAGACAAGAGGTCCTTGGGAAGAAGACGACTTTATTGGCGATGACGAATTGGAAGAAGCAATCTGGAGTATGAAGCTAGAGAAATCCGCAGGTAGTGATGGTGTAACTCCTGAAATGCTAAAATACATGGGGCCGAAAGGAAAAGAAATCTTGCTGCATCTGCTAAACCTAGTTTGGAAGCAGAAGAAAATACCAAAGGATTGGGAAGTGGCCATCATCGTCCCTATCTTTAAGAAAGGAGATAATAGAGATTGTAACAACCGAGGCATATCTGTTGAGCGTACCAAGTAAGATTTACTCTAAGATCTTGGAAAAGAGAATAAGAGGAAGTATCGAAGGATTACTTGAAGAGGAACAATACGGATTTCGGGAAAATCGTAGCACCCAGGATCTTATCTTTAACATGAGACAAGTTTTCGAAAAAGTATTGGAGAAAGAAAAGGAAATGTCAGTGTGCTTTGTTGATCTTACAAAGGTCTTTGACCGGGTGAGAAAGTCTGATATCTTGGAGACCTTGAGAGAAAAAGGGATTTATTAAGGTCATGTTATGGCAGTTGAGAGTCTCTACAAGAAAACAAGAAATATAGTAAGATTTGAACAACAATTGGAATCTGGCAAGGTTGTAGTCTTAGTCCACTTTTGTTTATACTAGTGATGGACTCAGCAATACGAAGGGCTAAAGGAAAAATGCGGAAATTTCATCTGGGATATGCCAACCTGAGATCGGTGAGCCTCTCAATATTTGCATTCGCTGATGACGTTGTTATTTTTTCAGACAGTGACAGGAACCTTCAGTATAATATTAATAAATTAAAAGAAGAATTGCAGAAGATTAATATGACTATCAACTCTGTAAAAACAAAAGTAATGAGGGTTGGGAAGAAGCCTAGGAGAAATATGCGCGTCATCAGAGTCAAAGACAAAATCCTCGAGCAGGTAGAAAACTTCAAATACTTGAGCGCACACCTTCATGAAAATGGATACATGGATTCAGAGGTGACTGAGCGAATCGCTGCTGCGAGCAGGATGTTTGAAGCAGTTAAGAAAGGTTTTCTAAACAGGCGTGAGGTGGAAAAGAAAACAAAAGTAGCTGTTTTCAGATCAACATTTCTTCCCATTTTAACGTACTCTTCAGAATCATGAACACTGACAAAGAAACATCGATCAAGGATACAAGTGTCAGAAATGCGATTCCTCCAAAAGATTGAAGGGAAAACGAGAAGAGACAAAGTATGCAACACCACCATCAGGTCGAACCTCAATATAAGCCTCAATATATAATGATGTGATTGAGGAGAATCAGCTGAGATGGCTAGGACATCTTCTGCGGATGGAACCAAACAGAATAGCTAGCGAAACCTATCGATCTAAAGTAGACGGCAAGAGAGGAAGATGAGGTAAAGAGCGATTTCCAGAGAAGAGGTCTTCGATGGAACGATAGAAGGCATCTTGTTGAAGACCGGCAGAGCTGGAGAAGGCTCTATAAACTTCCTCCTCACACTGCTTAATGCGGTTCAAGAGGATGGATTAGGATGATGATGATGATGATGATGAACATATATTACTTACTAATTTTATAAATCAATTATTGTTCCCTATTCCATCACATTGTGTTACAATATAATTTTTAATCACAAGTATAATTTATGATAACATTTCTTTATGAAATGATCATAACGAAATATTATTCCATAAAAATATTTAACCTAGTAGTCTAATTTATGAATACATTTTTATTCTATATCCTCCTTTAATATGTTATGGGTAATCCCTGTAACAAAAAACAACATGTAAAATAAAGTTGACAGAAACATTTCGGGAAATAAGTAGCTGGGTATTAGCCAATAAATTAGGTGGACAGGTCACAGTGCTGTCCACACTGTCTCCTAAGAATACTGAAGTCAGAGATCAAGATTCAGAGACCTCTACCAGTAAGTTAAATGTACCAGTGATAGACACTTTAAGAGAATTTTTCAACATTAATGTGAGTCACAACTTAAGTTCTGACAGTGGATCTTTGCAAATGGATTTGATTGACATCTAATTTAGTCCTTTACCAATTTTGTTTTTTCTATACAGTCAATTAATTTATTAATCATGAAAAACTTAGGAAATTCTAACAGCTTATTTAGTACCAGTAATAGACACTCAGGTTTTGTGGTCAACATATTTTTTTATATAATTAAAAAAACCCAAAATAAATTCTCCACAGTTTTAAACAAGGAAATGAAAAAGTACAGATGAATAAATAAAAAATTCAAACCTATTTTCCAAAGATAAATGATAATGAAAACTCCCTGAAATAAACATCCAGCCTTGCTCCATTGAAAAATCAACCAATCGACTATTGTGGCTTAATATTACCTGAGGTTCTGGCATCATCCTGTTTTGGATGTATAAAGCTTATTACACCTAAATGATTTGAAAACTGTCTGTTATTGGCACAGTGTCTATTACTAGTACATTTACCCTAGCTTTATGAGCTATTGTTGGATTGATATATTTATTTTTAATCATGTGGTTTATTTGATTATTTTTAAATAAAAGTATTAATTAAGTACATATTTTAGTATTAAGTTTATATTTTAATACACATTATACATGTGCTATAATTGGAAAATAAATTTTAAATACAAAATAATTTTAAAGATAAAGGATTTTTAAGACTAAAAGAAATAAACTATGAAACATAATTTAAAATAAAACTTACTTTGAAATATTTAACTGTCTTCACTTTCAGTTCAAGAGTAGCATCTTCATCACACACAATTGTTGTCCTTGGGTGCATTTGGAAAGCTGATACTGTCCACATGTGATTTATACCTTCTTCAATAGCTTTATGTAGAGCATATGCTTTATTAGAACCAGTTATTAATATAAGAACCTTTAAAAATAATTCAACAATTATATAAACTAAAAAAATTAAATGAGGATACTATAATAAGTAAAATGAAATTATTATAAACTGAACAACATTGTAATATCTGTGAATTTGCTGTTGGTATCATTTATAAACAAAACTTGAGGTTTTTATATTATATTAATTTTTAAAGCGATGCTGAGGTAAGTAATAGTCAGCTCATTTAAAAGGAAGTTCATAATTCAAGTCCATTTTTCAATTAATTTGAAAAATATAATTGAAGGTTTGGTCATTATAATAGTGTTGTAGGAGGTGAAGGAATAGAATTTTACATAAAAAAGAACAGAAAGTAAAATGTTTACACAGCATAGGCATTGTGCAGAACGAATGTAAAATTTAAATTTCTCAAACAATAACGTTTCTTAATTAACAATGAATTTCTTTTCACATGGTTTTGAATTTTAGCATTTAGGAAATAATAAATCATATAATACAATTTTCTATCACAAGTTTCATTTACTTGTCATCTATTTGTATTTATCAATAATCAGGACAACTACAGAAAAAATGAATTTTTGTTGATGAAAGTTAATATTATATTACACTAACAAGTACTGAGCAAGCAACCTCTGCTAAATTGTAGAGGATGAAAACAGAGAGATCTTTTGGAAATCACACATAGCTCCTCTTTGTAAAAGCACTTATATTAAAATCAGGAGAGAATATTTTACAACTCTTTTCAGAGTAACACATTATCTTCATGTTTGCATATGAATTAAACTTAAATTGGATAATGGTTTGAGGAGCATGTTTTCTTCAACAACGAAAATATGGTTTAATAAAAAAATTATAATACTTAAAGTATGTCTAACCACTTGAATAGAATTATTTTGAAACAACATTTTATCAGCTTTAATTTTGGAGAGAACAAGTTATTCTTTATGACATACTATTTTTAAAATATATGGAGGGGACCTCCAGTCTTGCTGGAGGTAGGGGCCCACCAGACTTGCTGGAGGGTGTGAGGTAGGATTGAACGCCCTACTCACATATCTTTAGTTCACCAAACACCACAAAAAGTCATGGATCTCCCTAAGGTAAAACGCTCATTATCCGGAGGTAAACTAGTCCCCCGTTCGGGTCTCCGGGTGGGGACTGCTTTAGGGGATTCATGCCGCAAGTTGAAATATAGGGATTTAAATATTGGTACGTGGAACGTAAGGAGTTTAAACACAGCAGGGGGGCTAAAATCGGTCGCGAATGAGGTAAATGGGTACAATTTGGATGTCGTGGCTCTGCAAGAGGTTCGCTGGCCAGGGGAGGGCTCGATGAGGGAAGGAAAGTACACTTTTTGGTACGGAGGAAGCGGGAATCATTGTTTAGGTACCGGGTTTCTAATTAGGAGTAGATTACTATCCGCTTTGAGGGACGTACAATTCTTTAGTGATAGAATTTCGGTAGCTACATTTCAGGGACGTTGGTTTAAAATCGCATTAATAAACATACATTGTCCGACCGAAGACAGTGACGATGAAGTCAAAAGTGAATTTTACGATAAACTCGAATGGGTTTATGATAAACTACCGCGAAACTACATGAAATAATTGTAGGTGACGCGAACGCAAAGGTAGGAAGGGAAGAAGTTTATATTCAGACGATTGGTAAAGAAAGTTTGCACGAATATAGTAATGATAATGGGATCCGTCTGATAAACTTTGCCATCTCGAAAAACCTGGTAATTAAAAGTACGACGTTCAAACGTAAGGATATTCATAAATATACTTGGACATCGCCGGATTCGCAAAAAACGAAATCAAATCGATCATGTCTTGATACAACACAGCTGGCAAAGCAGTATAATCAATGTACGGTCTTATCGCGGAGCAGAATGTGGGTCGGATCATGAATTAGTAATCGCGAAACTTCGACAAAAACTTAATATAAAAAAGAGAAAAGAAAACCGTTTCGATTTTGAGAATTTTAATTTGGAAAAATTAAAAAATCCATCAATTAGAAACCAATTCGAGCTAGATGTTAAGAATAGGTTTGAAGCTTTAGAGCTTCCTGACGTGGACCACGAGGATATTGACAAGTTATGGGTAGAGATCAGGGATAATATTAAAGCGGTCGGTAACTCGTGTCTAGGAAAAAAGGAAAATAAGAATAACAAACCGTGGTTTGATGAAGATTGCTTAAACATGTGCGAAAAAAGGAAAGCCGCTAAATTAAAAGCTCTAAATAATCCTAGCGAAGACAATCTGGAATACTTCCGAATCTCAAAGAACGAAACGACAAAATTGCTCAAAAATAAAAAAAGGGAGTATCTCAAAAATAAAATAATTGAAATAGAAACTAATAGAATCGAAAATAACGTAAGAGACATGTACAAAGGTATAAACAGATCACGTAAATATGTAGGGCCCGTAACGTCTGGAATTAGGGATGATAATAACAATATTCTGACCGATCCGGTTGACATATTGAATAAGTTTAAGGACCACTTTGACAATATTTTAAATACGGGAAATTATGATCTGTGTCCTCCTTCTGAGTACCAGAGTGCTGAACCGTTGATAGAAGGACCAAGTAAAGAGGAAGTTGAAGTAGCTATCGGTAAATTAAAATCATATAAAGCAGCGGGAATCGATAATATTCCTACTGAACTAATTAAGGCATGCGGGGAAGCTGGAGTTTCTAAAATACATCGCTTGGTTGAAAAGATCTGGGTGAACGAGAAATTACCTGAAGAATGGAAAGAATCTATTCTTATTCCGATTCAAAAAGGGTCCGAGGACGGATTGTAATAACTATCGAGGAATTTCACTCCTTCCGGTATGTTATAAAATATTCACTGTAATCTTAACCAGTCGAATCACGGAATACGCCGAGGAAATTATCGGAGACTACCAATGCGGATTTAGACGGAATCGTTCGACTATTGATCAAATATTTTCTTTACGGCAAATATTAGAGAAAAAATTGGAGTATAACGGTATTGTTCACCAGCTGTATATAGATTTTAAAAAGGCTTACGATTCTATTGACCGCCAGAAACTGTATAATATTCTAATCGAGCAGGGAATTCCAAAAAAACTAGTAAATCTAGTCAGGATGTGCTTGACGGAGACACTCAATAAAGTTAGAATCGGTAATAATTTGTCCGAAAAATTTGAGGTTCGTTCGGGCTTAAAACAGGGGGATTCTCTTTCGCCTGTCCTGTTCAATTTGGCATTAGAACATGCCATTAGGGAGGTAATGCGTACCGAGAAAGGGTTGGATCTGGGCGGGACAACATCCGTGCTGGGCTATGCTGATGATCTGGTACTGTTAAGCGAAGACGTTGAAACTATAAAACTAAATACGACAACGTTAATGAAAGCCGGTAAAGAACTAGGACTCGAAATAAACGTGGATAAAACCAAATATATGGTTAGCTGCAAAAATGGCGATACTACTGGTGACATCGATATAGATGGTAATATGTTTGAACAGGTAGATAAATTTAGGTATCTAGGTTCTACAATAACTAGAAAAAACGAAATTGAAGAAGAGATTAAAGTTAGACTGAAGGCGGGGAATGCTTGTTATTTTTCTGTGACAAAACTACTCAGTTCGCGCCTCTTGTCCCGAAACTTAAAAATTAGAATCTATAAAACAATTATCTTGCCTACAGTTCTTTATGGATGCGAAACTTGGCCGCTTACATTAAGGGATGAGCAGCGTCTTAAGATTTTTGAAAATAAAGTATTGCGTAGAATATTCGGACCGAAGAAGGATGAGTTAACCGGAGAGTTCAGACGGTTACACAACGCCGAATTGCGTGAGCTATATCCGGGTAATATAATTGAGGTAATTTCATCGCGGCGAATCAAATGGGCTTGTAAAGTTGTTGGGCTTAGTAACGAGAGAATTCCTAAAAGGTTAATATTTGCTGTGCCGAATGGTAAGCGTCGGAGGGGTAGACCGAAGCGAAGGTGGGAAGATTGCATTAAAGTTGATCTGAAGGGACTGGGTTTGGACGGCGAACGGTGGAGGGAGGTGTGTAACAAGCGATTGGTGGTGTCGGCATCGAACCTTCGGGTTCGCTAAGCCTTATTATTATTATTATTATTATTATTATTTATTTTTAAAATATAAGTATAGAACAGAAAAAAGGGACCTTCACAGTGCCCTCCCACAAGAATCATTAGGGACAGAGCAGAAGTCAAATGCTTCACCTCTATGCATTCTAAATACTCATTTTCATCATTTATTGACTTGTTCCCTAGTGATGATTGTGTTATTGAGTTAATTAAGCAAGAAGGGGGTAAGAAAATTCCTGTGAATGGTCCTTCTGTCATGGCAAAAGCTGAAAAATGCCCTCTTAGTTTAGGAAAAAAACTAAGCAATGGCTGGTTTGAAGAATTTAAAAAGACGAAAAATATTTCCTTTGAAACTGCTTTAGCAGAAAATAGGGATGTAAATCAGCAAGCGGCTAGTGACTGGAAAAATCATTTAGTTGAGTGAATAAAAGACTGAAATGCTAAAAATATTTTTAATGTGGATGAGATGGACTTGTTTTATGAATACCCTTATTAAAAAAAACACTCACTTTAAAAAATGATGGGTGCAATAGAGGTAAACATAGTAAAGACACTGTCACACTTATGGTTGGAGAAAATATAGGATGGCTCCAAAAATATCGAAAACAAGGTTGTAGAGAATGAAGTTAACAAAAGGTTGGATGACAGATGATGAAATCTTTAAAAATCGGCTACCGAAATTATACCAACAATTTTGTAAAGAAATTAATGATTTTCTTGTTAATTGGCAATCGCACAGCCCACGACAGAATTTGATTGTAAAAAAGATAATATTGAAATTTTATTTTTACCTTTCAATATGATTAACAAATTGCAATCAAAAACCTCAAAACATTTCTACTTACTTCTTGTAGTCCGGACGCTTTCAGAAGAGGTTTTTCTAGACAAAATTGATAATGTGGAAATTAACATCCTTTAAACAACCTAAATGGGTAGCAGTACTTGGGATCAAGTGAAACCAAACACTATTGTAAACTCGTTTTAAAAGGTTGAGTTTCATAATGTCACACTTGAAGGAGTTCATGAAACTGAGAAGATAATGCTTACAGCTGAAAACTGGGAATAAGTGGAGAAACTGATGTTTTGTGTAAGAACTTTGTGCAAATGGATGGCAAGTTGAGGGTGAGATGATGGACCCTGACATTTTAAATGTTATCAACACAAAAGTTGCTGCCTAGTTGTCTGCATATGAAGAACAAAATTCTAAAGATGATGAGAAACCAATGCCTATAATCTTCAAACGACAGCAACAAAGTATGAGTAACATAATTTTTAAATGGCTTCATTAATTTGACAAATATTGTTTGAATGAAAAAATTATGTTTATAAAAGAAACAAAAATATCAAACTTACAAATAAATGAGCAATAAAAATGGAACTATAAAAAAAAAAAAAAAAAAAATAGAACTTCAAATGCAAAAGAATAAAAAAAAAAGACCTGAATAGTTGAAGGATAAATCATGCATTCTTCACCAAGAAATGCACTGACTCATTCTGCATTTTCTGTCAAGAGTTTTCTTAATATATTTAAAGTTATATGAAAATTCTAAAGATATTTTTTTTAACATGAATAAATTATAATCTGCTTTATACTTTATATGCTTAAATTCGTAATTTGATATTTCGCAATTTTTAATTTTAAAGGAATTAAAAAAACAACAACCTCATATGCATCCATTACAGTGCCTACACCCACAGTTAGCGCCAGTTTTGGAACCTTCGATATATCATTAGAAAAAAATCTTGCATTGGCTTCTAATGTATCTTGAGCAAGAGTTTTTATTCGAGTTCTTGAAGCCAAAGAAGACCCAGGTTCATTGAAAGCTATATGGCCATCTGGTCCAATTCCTAGTAATTTTTCAAAATATGGCTATAATATAATTCATGGTAACATACAAATGATAAATAAATATTCAAATAAATGAAATATTCAACAAACACACTTATGATAAAGACATATATTAAATTTTAATACTACATTATGCTTTCCAGATGAATTTTTCAAGAGGATAAATAAGTTTCACTCATTCCATTATGACAGAAACCTCTCCATAGGGAGATAAATATAAATAAGTTAATAAAAAACAAAACACATCATAACATGATAAAATATATTTAAGTAACAAATTTAAAATTAAATAAAAAATTAAGGATTAAAAACTGCACCTAAGAGGTAAAAGGTGGGCTTTCAAATTTATGAAATTGTTCAGTACAAAATGTGATTTTTTTTCTTCATAATTTTCTCATAACTTTGTTTTGTAAGTAACAGATTTGGCATACAACATACAAACTAATGATATTTATAATTAATAAATATAACTATGTATTAAATTAAAATGATTATAAAAAATATAGCTTTTAAAGAACTTCCCTGGACTTAACACTTCTAATTCATGAGTTAACTTTTAATGGACTTCCAATGTTTCACTGCTAATAAAGAAACAGAATTGAAATCATAAAATCTAATAAAACAAAACACAATAAATAATGCATTAAGACAATGCAAATGAAAAATGTTTGAAACAATAACTTAAAAGATAATTAACATTGGTAGGTAATAAGTTTTTATTTTGAAAATAGAAAACATTAATGGCTCAATACAGAATAAAAAATTATTCAAAAACTATAATAATAATAATAATGAAAAAGAAAATTGTTTTCTATGTGTTCTCGATATTACTGATAAAGAAACAACCATTTATTGGGACCAATCTATCATCACTGACCATAGCGTGCCAAACAATAAACCAGGTATTCTGGTTATATGTAAAAAGGAAAGGACGGTTGCAATAATTTAAATAGGAGTTCCCAACGACGATAATATTCAAAAAGTGGTTGGAGAAAAGATGAGGAAATAACAAAAGCTTAGCGAGGGACTGAAACAACTCCACAGCCTAAAACAAGGAAAGGTGTTGCCCTTTATCATTTCGAGTAACAGATTGGTCCCAGAGGAGAAAATAAAAACTTGCAAAGTGTTGGGACTTGCAGATTATATCCTAGAAGAAGGTCAGAAAGCTGTGCTACCAGGGACAGGCAGCATAGTCAGAAATTTTTTAAATATTTCATAAATAGAGCCTGACCCTTGACTCATTGAGTCCGGGTAGGTGAATATTTCCAGCAATGGCTGAGGAACTGTGAAATTATGAAATGAAAAAGGAAGTTTTTTGCTATATGTTCTCAACACTGTCTCTGATTAAACAGGTTTTTCTTCTTCTCCTTCCTCCCTTTGTACATTTCAGCATGGAGGAACCTCCAGCCACTTCGATCATACATCTCTGTATTGCCAATTCCTTCGTCCAACCTATGGTTTTCCCTCTTTCCGCACCTAGTCGCTGAATATGTTTTTCTAGGCCTGCCTCGTGGTCTCCTGCTAGTTGGCCTTGCTTCCTTGGTACTGTTTTCTCCCATTCTACATATGTGCCCATACCATCAAAGTTGTCAGCATTCCATAGTTGCTTTTAATGAGGGTATCAGGAATTCCTCTCTTATTCTATCATTCCTTACTCTGTCTCTCCTAGTTTTTCCAAAATTCTTCATAGAAATTTCATTTCAGCAGCCGTAATCCTGTTTAAGTAGCTTGGCTGTAGTCTATAAAATTTTTTCCAACATCCTCTCTATGAGGCTCAACGTATTTGCCGAGAACATACTGGAGGAAAACCAGTGTGGATTTTGGAAGGGGAGAGGAACAATTGATCAGGTCTTTGTGATGAGACAGATAATGCAAAAAGCCTGGGAATATGAGATTGACCTACATATGCTGTTCATAGATTACCGGCAAGCTTTCGATAGAGTGATAAGAAGCAAATTAATAAATGCCTTAAATGAGTCCCAAATTCCAAAAAAAATAATAAGGTTATTGCAAATGACTATGAATAATAGCAATGCAAAAGTAGTTATTAAAGGCAATGTAAGCAATAGCTTTCCAATGACGGATGGGGTTAGGCAAGGGGATGCTTTGTCTGCCACATTATTTAATATTGCACTTAATAATGTGTTGAAAAAACTGGATTCACCTGGTTGCATACTTAATTCAATGGTGCAAATATGTGCTTACGCAGACGATATATGCCTAATTACCAGGAATTTAAGATTAATAAAAGAAATCTTTGCAATAATGAAAGCCGTAGGTGAAAACGTTGGGCTGGAAATCAATCAAGATAAGACAAAATACATGTATGTCGGAGCCGACAATGGGACTGGTCCACAGAGCATTGAAATATGTGGTCTTACCTTCGAATGTGTCAAAAAATTCACATATCTAGAGTGAATTCTGAAAATAAAATTGCTGCTGAGGTGTACAAGAGGATCATGGCTGGAAACCGGGCGTACTATGTCAACCTAAAATTTTTTCGATCATCGTTCCTGTCAGGAGAAACAAAGATAAGACACTATATAAGACGTTAGTAAGACCTATTGTGACTTATGGAGCGGAGACATGGACCCTTTGTACTGGCACAATTAGTATAATGAATATTTTTGAAAGAAAAATATTGAGAAAAATTTATGGAGCTGTTTGTGAAGAGGGTGTGTGGAGGTATAGAAAAAATGCGGAGCTATATGAATTATATAACAGCCCCAACATAGTTAATTTCGTTAAAATTAGGCGTATGGAATGGTTAGACCACCTGGTTAGAATGGACCACAGCAGGATGCCTTATAGGGCATTGTTCTCTACAATGTATGGCATAAAAAGAAAGGGAAGACCAAGAAAAAGATGACTACAAGATGTTGAGAGCGACCTTAGAACACTGGGTGTGAGAAATTGGAAGGAAAGAGCGAGCAATAGGGATGATTGGCATGCTATAATTCAGGAAGCCAAGGCCCAGCCTGGGCTGTAGAGCTACATAGTAAGTAAGTAATCCTGCTTAAGTACTTGTCTTGGCTGACCCAGCTTTCGCTGCCATGTAATAATGTAGGGAGATAAATTGCTTCATAGATGTGGAGTTTAACATTCCTTCCTATCTCTCTCTTTCCTACAATTGTGTTGCAAATCTGGTAATATGTACTATTTGCTTTCTTTATCCTGTTGGAAACTTCTTGGTTTATTTTCCAAATTTGTTAAAAAAATTTCTAATATAGGTGTAGTAGTCTACATTCTCCAGCTCTTCTCCATTCCATGTCATTCTTATATCTCGCACATCCTCGCACAAAAAATTATTTTCATTCATCCTCCTCATCTCTTGCTACAGTCATGACATTACTCTTGCGGCAGTTGATACTCATTGCTTTACGAGCAAGTTCTTCCTGCCATTCTATAATGGCCTGTTGCAGTTTTCCTTGAGAGTCGGTCACCAGCACGATATCGTCTGCATATAGGAACACCTGCACTTGAACTATCCTCATGTTTCACATACCAACTGCAGTCCAAGCAGTTCTTCTGCATATTTTGTGGATTTTGTCCTTAAAGTTGATAAACAATAATGAACTCAAGCTGTCCCCCTGTTTCATACCTCACTCCAACAGAGATGGCTTGGACTTTCGGCCACATATACGCACTATTCCTTAGGGGCTTTCATATCCTGATTTTATTGCTGCCAGAAGGTCCTCGGGAATACTCTTTCTTCTAAGTGCTCTCTATATTTCACATCGGGGTACTGAGTCAAAGGCAGCTTTCAAGTTTAAGAAAGCGATATATATACTTCAATTTCTATCCCATACCTTTTCTACAACATTTCTGAGAGCAAATATGTGGTCTTGCGTTTGCCTTCCTGGTCGAAAACCAGCCTGTTCTTCCAATTCTGGTTCTATCAGTGGTCTTAAATTGTTTTCTAATATATTGGTGTACATTTTGGAAGTATTAAGAATTCATAGAAGCCTCAGAACTGGACTAACAAAACGGAAACAACATGGCATGGAAAAGGCCTTGAGATTTGGTTCTTGGAATATAAAACCATCGTGGGTAAGGGAGTTGAACTCGTGGAGGAGATCATAAAGTACAGGATCAACATTCTTGGTATATCTGAAGTAAAAAGGAAAGGAATTGGAGAAGTGCATCTGGATAAGGGTTACACTCATTTATTCAGGGGTCCCTAAAGGGGAACATGCTAAAAAAGGAGTCAACCTTGTTATTAAAGAAGAATGGGAGGCGGTCTCGCCTAGGATAATAACAGCCAATTTCCAGCTATCTCCGGGTAAAATCACAGTAGTACAAATTTATGCTCCAACTCAAGATTCCTCTGTGGTAGAAAAGGAACAATCTTACTCGGACTTAGAAAGAATTGAAGAGGTTTTTCATACATGATATTTAGGAATATCACCATCTTTTTTGTATTCAACATGAGAAATTTTGTTGTAGAAGGCATGGCTAACAGGTGGTAACCACTGCTTCAATTTGATCAGATTTCAGTATTTCAGATCAGAAATGTTTTTCATACATGATCTCATTTGTGGAATAATAGCCAGGATAACAAATTATATTCTTTTATTAATACAAAACTTATTTTTATAAAACAATTTTCTAGAATCTCTCTTTTTTTTAGCTGATGCCAAACACAAGACAAAGAAAACAATTTGCCGTAAGGTTTATTTTTGTTAAGAAGATTTTTTGACTTGCTTTTGAAATTTTGCAAAACATTTTAATATCACTTATTTTTATATCATAAAATGAAAGAAGTGCTTAAAAATTAAACAAACAAATCTTTAAATTATCTATTACTGAAAAAAAATACACTTGAATTAATTATGTTTTCAAAGAAATTACACCAAGAAACCATATATTTGCCTCTAGAATAAATCTTTAAATGTTTTATCGCAGGGCACACTGGTAAAAGTAAAGGGATCAAAAATGGTAGCTTGATTGCCTTTGGAATTACCCTGCTTTCTGATATAATATATTTTGATCAATGTTAAGACCAGGTCCAAATAGCAAACAATACAAATAAAATAAGTAAAATGTCTTAAGTGAACATAGATAACAACGGTAAAATATCTTTAATGGATATGTAGACATTCGATCTTTTACATCTAAATATCTCAATAACTAGGCAGACTTGAAGCTTTATACAACTGAAAAGAGCATATACAATTATGTAAAGATCAGTACAAAACTCATTTTCATAAAAAAGTGGACCTGACTTTTTACCACTGAGGTACAGAAAATTATATACAATTAATATTGTAAACAATTTTTCATCGATTGGTTAAAAAGATCTGGAAGAATGAGAAATGAAGAATGGAAAGAATCTATTCTTATTCCGATTCACAAAAAGGGCCCGAGGACGAATTGTACTAACTATCGAGGAATTTCACTCCTTCTGGTATGTTATAAAATATTCACTTTAATCTTAACTAGTAGAATCACGAAATACGCCGAGGAAATTATTGGAGACTACCAATGCGGATTTAGACGGAATCGTTCGACTATTGATCAAATCTTTTCTTTACGGCAAATATTATAGAAAAAATTATAGTACAACGGTGTTGTTCACCAGCTATATATCTATTTCAAAAAGGCTTACGATTCTATTGACCGCCAGAAACTGTATAATATTCTAATCGAGCAGGGGATTCCAAAAAAACTAGTAAATCTAGTCAGGATGTGCTTGACGGAAACACTCGAAAAATTTAGAATTGGTAATAATCTGTCCGAAAAGTTTGAGGTTCGTTTGGGTTTAAAACAGCGGGATTCCTTTTCGCCTGTCCTGTTCAATTTGGCATTAGAACATGCCATTAGGGAGGTAATGCGTACCGAAAAAGGGTTGGATCTTTGTGGGAAAACACCTGTGCTGGGTTATGCAGATGATCTGGTACTGTTAAGCAAAGAAGTGGAAACTATAAAACTAAATGCGACAACGTTAATGAATGCCAGTAAAGAACTAGGGCTCGAAATAAACACGGATAAGACAAAATATATGGTTAGCTGCAAAAATGGCGATATTACTGGTGATATCGATATAGATGGTAATATGTTTGAACAGGTAGAGAAGTTTAGGTATCTAAGGTCTACGATAACTAGAAAAAACAAAATTGAAGAATAGATTAAGGTTAAGAATGAAGGCGGGGAAATGCTTGTTATTTTTCTGTGACAAAACTACTTAGCTCGCACCTCCTGCCCCGGAACTTAAAAATTAGAATCTGTAAAACCATTGTCTTACCTACAGTTCTTTATGGTTGCAAAATGTGGCCGCTTACATTAAGGGATGAGCAACGAGGATGAGCCTTAAGGTTTTTGAAAATAAAATATTGCATAGAATATTCAAACTGAAGAAAGATGAATTAACCGGAGGGTTCAGATGGTTACACAATGCCAAATTGCGTGAACTGTATCCGGGTAATATAATTGAGGTGATTTCATCCCGGCGAATCAAATGGGCCTGTAAAACTGTTGGGCTTAGTAACGAGAGAATTCCTAAAAGGTTAATATTTGCTGTTAATATATATGCGAATCACTTCCTATGACAGAAATCTGGGAGAAAAACACAATTATATAACCACTTTACATAAAAAATATTTCAAAAATTGTTATTTAAATAAATAAAATATATATTGAGGCAATTATTTTTATTGCAATACATCCCAGATCACAGAAAAACAAGAAATGAAGGCTTAGCAACAGTTGATTGTAGTAATTTTCGGTGAAAACAAGGGTACATTTAAGAGACTGAATAGAAAATCACATCATTTCTTTACACAACTTGAGGCACATCTCAAGTTTTCGCCTAATACAACTCAATTTAATTATTGCAAACTTAAACCTTATTAAATGAAGTGTTTTCCTAAAAGTGAGGTGACTGTAGTATAGTTGGATGATAATAAAAAAATGTGAATAATTTATGATTTTTTTAAAAGCAGAACTTAGCTTAGTTTAGTTGCTCAAATGTCCTCTTTAAATGGTTTTAATAATGACAAATTTTCTTTTCAATTAAAGCAAATTGTAATCACTTAATTATCTAATAATTAATTATTATTACTTATATTATTATTAATTAATAATAAATACTTTAATTATTTAAAGTAATTGTTAATTACTTGAATTAAATATTTCTTTAGTTATCGCTTCCTATTCAACAAAAAATGTGACTCTTAAAAAAACACAAAACTTGAAGTACCTACTTTTGCTGAAAATTGGCCCATTGTTTATATGAACTTTTTTTTTAGGTCTTGAGGTCTGCTATCACTCCTATCGAAATTTCCCTCTACTTACGGGACACCCTGTATACACAATTGAAATGACATTGCTGCTGTCATTGAAAAGAGCATATTAAATTGTTAATTGTTGATAATCAATAAATCCCTAATAAGGTAACACACTGAAATACAGTTGGGAATATAGCATTGCTTAATTTTGTTGAATTGTTTTTAAAAAGGATTTGACAGAGGGAAATAAGCAATTAACATACTGTAGTAGTATTGGCATCAAAGCTCTAAGCTGGCTAAATATTATTTTATGTAGCAATAAAACACAGGGATTATGATTTAAACCATACAGGAGAACTTGACTGATTTTATAATTATACTAAATATTATTTTATGTAGTAATAAAACAAGGATTATGACTTTAACCATATAGGAGAACCTAGCTGATATAACTGTTCATATCATAGAACTAAAATCATTACAGTGAATGAAAAGTATAAAATTAAGCTGTAGAATGAAAAGTATAAAATTACCTCCAATAAATAACCGTATTCCACCAGCCTCACTTATTTTTTGTTCAAAGTTATCACATTCTGCCTGTAAATCTGCAGCATTACCATCTAATATATGGACATTGTTTGGATCAATATCAATATGTTTGAAAAAGTTTTCAAACATATAAGTATGATAACTTTCAGGATGATTTCTTGGTAAACCTATATTAGAATATTTTTAATTTAAATTCATTCATGCTACTTATTATTAATTAAAAAAATATAACATCTTAATTAAATTAAAAATAAAATAGAATCTGTATCAGTTACAAAATGAACAAATACCATTAATCAATGAATGGCAAAAAAGGGCTTGGAGAATGGACTAGAATGCATGGAGGATGGACAAGCAATTGACTTTGAGAATTTATTGGGGGCACTTAGGAGGTAAACATACTGAAAGTCCCCACCTCTACCCCTTCCGCTTCATGGTGGGGGGGGTGCAGCAAAGGCCACTTTTTCTAGATTTTCTTTTATATCTTGAAAACGAGGCATCGTAGACTAAACATTGTCATATACAAAATTAAAGCTGACAAAATTTCCTTTTAGAAAGTTTATATATATTTCTTTCGTATCTGTTATAGTTTTGAAGGTATGCACTAACTTAATTTGGTTATTTTAGAAAAATTTATTTTCATCTCAGGTTTTTTTCAAACTTATCTTTTTAACACCACGGCTTTTCGTTCTACAAGAAAATTGCCTGAAAAAAATTGTAGAATATAGTTTTTTCTTTAAATGAATATATCATTTATTACTTTATCTTTTATGAACCCAAAGTAATATCAATTATAAATAATGATGTAGAGATGGATGACCGTGATATAATATGAGAAGGAGTTGGTCGGGGGGTGCAGTCAAATAAATACTAAATTTAAAAAAATAATATTTTAAATTATTACGCTGACGTTTCGACACATCTTGCAGGTCTTCATCAGGGCTACAAAAAATACAAAATATAAAAGGTACATGGTGAAAATAAAATAAATGAATTATAAGTAGATATTAAATAAGAAACAGTTGTCTGATAAAGACATAATAAGTTAAAGAAATAATAAGATGACATCAGAGATATAGTGACAAAGTATTATATATATAGAAGATACAAACAAAAATAGAAAACAAAGGAGAATATAGCGAGTAAGTTAAAAGTAAACAGATTATGATAAAAGATAAGAAATGAGGGTATAACAAACTGGTAAAAATTACATTTGATAACTATGTTAAAAGATAAAGAAAATGAATGTTGACGAATAAAGAAATTGAAAATTGAATAAGTAATGATCTAGTAAAGCTAAAATAAGAATAAGATAACATAACAATAATAAGATATTAGTGAATAGCAAGCTAGTAGAGGTTACATTTGATAAATGTAGGTAAACATAACGAGACTGAAGGTTAACAAATAAAGAAATTGAAAGATTAATAGGATAATATTAGTTGCAATATCGTTATCATAGATTTATTAGATATATATATAACTCTATAAGAAAATCTTTTTAAAGAAGAGAAATTTAGAATGTATGTATTTAATGTAAATAAGGTTATGATGATGAAAACAAGTTGTACTATATATAAATGACAATTGACATTCAGTTCTTTGAAAGCGGTAATGGAATAGTAGGCAACATGAAGATTATAATAAGGTTTATAGTTGAAGGATAGGTGTGTTAAGAAAGGATCATAATAAAAGTCAAACATAGCATGGCATGTGGCATTGCAGGAGGCAGCTGATAGACTGGCAGTTGAAACAGGTCTATTACGCATACATACATACTCACATACACACACACACACACATACATATATTTATATACACACACGTACATCCATATATATATACATATATTCACACATGCATATACACCCATACATACACGCACACACAACACATACCAACATATGAGAAAAAAAAAAAAAAGGCAGGAGTTTTAAGGAGTGATTTATAATCAAGAGTTTTTTAATGTTAATAATTTGGGAATACGCGAGGGACAGGTATTGTTTGTCTGTTTTTAAGTTAAGTGGTTTGTAGTCTAATTGAATGAAAACATTTTCCGTAAGTAGTCCTTTTTAATAATTGGGTACTGTGGCAAGAATGGAGGCGTTGCCAAAGTCAAATGTGTGATTTCAGGATAAGGCGTGATCAGAGAGTTTAGAAGCAGTAGAGTTATTGGAAGAAATTGCATATTTGTGTTGGTTGATGCAGTCTTTAAGGTGGTTTTTGGTTTCTCCAATATAAGCATAGTTACAATTGGGGGTAGAGCAAGGAATGCGGTATACGACTTTTGAGCGATGCTGTAGAGGGATGGGATCTTTTAGGTTGGAGTAAATATTGGCAAGTTTGTTGTAGTTTTTAAAAGCAACTCGCAGGTTGGGGATGGAGGAACATAGGGATTTTTAGTTTTATCAGAAAGGAAAGGAAAGGGATGTATGGTAGAGATCTATATAAAGGAATGGAGGGCAGATTTTGATTACTAGAGAAGGGGATGGAGGATGAGAGGCGGAGGAGCTATCGTGTTTAGGAGATCATTCAGAACGATGTTAGATAAGTCGGGTGCGAGGGGGTTACCCATAGCTAGTTCTGCAATTTGGTTGTAAAACTGTCCACGGAACATGAGATAACTGGATTTGCAACAAAGTTGTAGGAATTCAATAAATGAGAAACGGTTAAGGGAGGTATGAGACCCTAAGGATGACCAGTTTTCTTCAAAGGATATACAAGGAAATCAAGCTACTTGATAAGTAATAATAAGCATAAATAAATAAATTGTCCTTGATATACATATGAAGTCCTTGTGGCGGTACTGTTGGGTCTGTCAGCATGCTGCCCGGCTGAGGTACCAATGCTCAATTAAAAAACCGAAGAGGATCCCATTATTTATGTTAAAAAACAGGGATCGAAACGTTTTTGAATAAAAGGAATAAACAGAAGTTGTTCATATCATATAATTCATATCTTAAGTTATAATATATAAAGGTCGAATTATAAAAAAAACATTGTAATATTATATATATATATATATATATATATATATATATATATATATGTTATTTATGTCAATATTAATATTACCCTTCATATTTAATATTAATGGAGGTGGAAACTCAAATGCTCAAAAATAAACAAATTACATTTTCTCATATGCATCGACGAAATTTATCAAAATATTTATAATTGATGTTACTTTGGGTTCATAAAAGAAAAAGTAATAAATGATATATTAATTTAAAGAAAGAACTATATTCTACAATTTTTTTCAGGCAACTGTCTTGTAGAACGAAAAGCTGAAGTGTTAAAAAGACAGGTTTGACAAAAAACCTTAGATGAAAATAAATTTTTCGAAAATAACCAAGTTAGTGCATACCATGAAAACTATAACAGATACGAAAGAAATATATATAAACTTTCTAAAAGAAAATTTTGTATACAACAATGTTTAGTCTACGATGCCTCGTTTTCAAGATATAAAAGAAAATCTAGAAAACGTGACCTTTGCGGCACTCTCTCCCCCCCTACCATGAAGCGGAAGGGGTAGTAGTGGGACTTTTAGTATATTTACCTCCTAAGTGCCCCCAACAAATTCCAAAAGTCAATTGCTTGTCCATCCTCCATGCACTCTACAAGCCCTTCGTTGACTGGACTAAGGATTAATTCAGTACCGAATGAAAGTATGAACAATGAAACAAAAGTTTTCACTTTAATTTAAGAAATTTTTAACCATTTGCACATTGCTGCTATTTCATTCATACTATTATAAATAGCAATGGGCTTTAACTGTTACCTTGTGAAAAATGAAAATGAAAAATATTTCATTCAAAAGAAAAATGAAATAAAAATATTTGATATTTTGTAACAGTATCATATTATAATCTATAACCAACCAAATAGATAATTTTAAAGAATGAAGCTTAAATGAAGAAAGGGAACCTTCTTAATTAAGCTGAACTAATACAAATATTTTCACATAGTAGTTATGATAATTTACCTCTGAAGTAAAAAGATATTTTTAAACTCATATATATTGTACAATAAAAAAAAGGTAAAAGAGTATACTGAAACTAAGGGAATGTTTTTCAGCTAAAAGTGAAAGTGAATAACTTAATTCTAAGGCAGGGGTCTCCAAACTTTTTCTCCCGCAGGCCACATTGAGATTTCAACTAAGTTTTGCAGGCTGTATTGAGACCTCCACCCAAGTGATGAAAAAACGTTCTATAAATCACGCTTCAGCTGTGGAATGAAATTTCTAAGAGGAACTCATGCAATAAATCAATGTGGGCCTGATTGAAGGTGCTTGCTGGATCCGGCCTGTGGGCCATAGTTTGGAGACCCCTGCTCTAAGGAATCAATATTTTGCATTCTCAAATACTGAGTTTTCAAGGTTATGAACTATAAACGTATTTATAACAATGTATTAGAAAATATCTAGTTTCATTAGGACCTCACAAGTTTTAACTTACCAACATACTCATCCATATTAAAAGTTTTTACATATTGAAATGATACTTTTCCTTTTTTATTGAACTCGATCAAATTTTTATACATCCCAAGAGGAGTACCCCCTATAAATAAAATAGAGATATCAGTAAGAAAGGATAATCACTGAAACATGTTTATTCCATTATTTTTTAAATGTATTTCCAAAAACGAAATAATTAGCAATTTAGGAAAAAATTACTTAATAAAATTTTTGTTTTCCATTGAAGTTGTGAAGCATATCAACCTATAACAAGTAAGATAAATTATTAAAGAATAAAATTGCTTGGGAAGCCTGTTTGAACCATTGGGGAGTTTATTAAAAAAAAAACTTTATATAAGGTTGTTCTAATTAAATAAAAAAACAAATGCAATCTAAATATATTCTGCTGAATTATAACTCCTCTTAACTTTCAAGGATCAGAAAATTTATCATAATAATCTTCACGTTTGTCTATTCTGTATAGTGAGCTGACAGCCAGTTCGATAACCTTAAATGGGTATTTTGAGGATTTATAAGTCTGAGTCTGAACCATTAAAATATTATGTGTCCACATAATCTGCTATATTTATGTTCTTATATAATCTTAAAACTATCCTAGATTTTTGGAACAATTATTGGACCTTCTTTAGACACCACTGAGAGAACAGGAGGGTGTCTGATAGGCCATCGAACATCGGTTGCAAAAGACAAAGCCAATGTTCAACAATAAAGCTATGTTCAAAGCCCTGTCTCCAAGAGGCCTTTTCTATTTATAAAAAACGCAGACCAAGATTCCAGGCATTTATTTTTAAGACATCATGAAAATATAAAAATGATAATTTTACATATGTGCAATGGATACAAAATTAAACTATTGCAATACAGTCGGTGCAAGGCTCTTATGTTCAGTATGAAAGGCAAGCGACGCTTAAACAATGAGGCGATTAGGCCATACTAAATTTACAGGTTTATCCTTATTTTAAAGAAGTCAGGTGTGCCCCCAGGAGGATCTCTTGACTTTAAAGTCAACTTACAGCTGATGTAAAAGAGAATTTTTGAGGCTGTGATGGCCTAGAGAGCTTTAGAGTGTTATAACATAAGTAACCTCGAGTCTATTGGCACCGGTTTGAATTCAGTATGGGCTGGTTGCATTTATTTTGTAGCAAAGCCATGGAATGAATCTTAGGTTAGAATGGATTAGTTACCTGTAGGATAATACCATTGTATGTCAAAAATAGCCAGATAGGGGGTAAAAGAAAAAGAAGTAACTGATAATTAATTTTCTATCTAAAGCCAGACTCAAACCTGGGCCCTTGTGCATTAAAAATACAGTGCGTTATCCACTGAGCTGTCTCAATTCTAAAGATGATTTAATGAGTTAAAATGACTAAAGAAATATAAATTTATTTATGAATATTAATCTTCCCAAGGGATAAGTTATTCTTTCCTTATAAATAACGTTAATTACCTGTGGGTAGTCCTAGGACGAAGTATTTATCTGGTCCTGGATTAAAATCATTAATCTTTTTCATAACATGATAAGCCGCATAATTTGCAACTTTATCACATGACTCCAAAATTAGCAGTTTCATCTAAAAAAATATATAAATATATACATGTATGTTTAAAATTCTATTGACCCATTAAATTCACTATGTAATATTTACATTAATTTTATATATATATAAATAACTTTATTCTGGGACAAAGTCCCTTAAGAATAACAGAGTGTTACAGAAAAAAAGAATAACATTTGACCAGAAAAACTGTTACATTAAGTATATAGATAGAGAAAAAACCTATATTAAACAAAATAAAACTAATGAGACTATTTTCAAAATACTAGAACAATACAAATAATAAATGAAACAAACTATAAAAAAATTAATCGCTGCTTAACTAAAAAGATAAAGAAAAATAATAAATAAATAAAAAAAAGATAGAAAAAAACCCCAGTAAATACAAAATAAATTCCTCTAACAAATGAGCAACAAATCTTCAATAAATAAAAGAAAATTACAAATATTATTATATACCCATATATACATAGATATAAGTTAATTGTAATGGACTTGAAACAATTAAATAAAAAAAGGAATAGGTTCACGAAATGAAACGCATGGTCGGGATCAAGACTGGTTTATTGTTCCTTCTAATCCTCTATATATACATTCTGAGAATGTTTACGTCAGTGCTTTTGGTATTAATGCTAATACTGTCCCGATCAGTAACTTAACTTATATAGAACCGTCTAGTCAAAATAAAGATGGTGTGAAAAATATATATACAAGATAATATGTAATATGTACAAAAAATAAATAAAAAATGATTTTTTTTTTAAACTATAACTTAATATGTGGTTTGCCGGTTTCTGACTGTTGTGAGAATAGATTGAAATAGGAGTTTTTTTAAGGTGGATAAGAAGAGAGTATGCCCGAATTTTAGAGGTAGGGAATTCTTGAAATAAGCAGAGCGGACAACGAAGGAGTTTTAGAAATAGAGAAATAGAAAAATTAGTTTAGTTAGAAAGACGCTTCAGATCTTAATTTTTCTTTTTATTAATTGATTTACCAAACGTGCAATGTGCTAGTAAAAGGATGTTGCCATTGGGAAGTATCCTTCATTGAAGTCACATTCATACGTTCAAGTATTGGGACTGAATTAAAATATTTAATAAATAAAGTGATTAAACCAAAACAGCCTTAAAATTTGAGTACTCCTAGGACTAATTTTGCTGGCCCTCTTTATACCCTTGGTACAATTTATCTTAAGAAACAATGTAAAGAAATTATAAAATTATAAGGAGGAAGATTAAATGAAGACTTTCTTCAACTTATTTTCATTGTTATCTCTCTATTATATAAAAGTTTTTAGTGTATGTCATGTTTTATTTTATTTTAGTATCAGGAGCATAGGAGATTACAGGAGTTCTCCGATTATTTCTATAATTAGCACTAATTAAACATCTGTTCATTTAATTACATGTGTTGAGCTCCTATTACCTAATTCTCTCCTTATACAAAATAAAGATTTTAGACGATAAATTTGTAAGGGGAACGGTATTTATTCATTTGGAAGTGGTAGTTTCAGTTGACTTCGGTGACAGCAGTTATTTTTCTATCTATACATTTCCTCTTGAATGAAATATATTAATAATTATATCATATATAATATTATTTATATTATATTGTGATATAATTATAATTATTATGAAATAGAAAAGGAAGCACAATACAACGAACAACGAAAATATAAAATATATGCAAAAAAAAAAAAAAAAATTATTTATTTATTTATTTTTTTTTATTGATCACTCCAACCAATCTTCTCTTCAATTATTATGGTTACAAACCAGCAATAAGAATAATTATAGAATACTTGATGGTTGACCATGGTATATTATTGAGTAAGAAGATGGTCTGGGATGCTGGTCATAAAAGACTAAAATGGTAACAACTATTTTATTTATAACCAACATTTCGACCCGACCCGACTTTTTAGGTCTTCTTCAGGGCTAGAACGAACAAGATACAAAAGGCTATAGAATAATGTGAAAGTTACATAATGTTTAAAATATATAAAGTAGAACAATAAACTATATAAACAAAGTATAACTAATAATAATAATAATAATAATAATAAGGCTTAGCGAACCCGAAGGTTCGATGCCGACACCACCAAAACAAAGTATAACTATGGGTGATAAATATTCAGGACACAGTCATTATACAAATTTTTTATTTGTACCGACTAGCTTCCTTCAAGAAGTATAACTAAGTAACCAGACCCTAACGAGAAGTAAATAAATGGTAACAATTATTGTATATTATTGGAAATAGGGAAAAATTGAACGTAATAGGGAGGATGGATAATATACTTAATAATGGATATAATCTTACAGATCTCAAGGAAAAATTGAAAGAAAAAGGAAAAATACTAAAATGTAAGAAATAATGAACATAAAGGAAATGTGAAATTAACGAAACTACTACTAGCCTGAAGAAGAACTGCAAAGTCGGGTCGAAACGTTGGCTTCAAATAAAATATTTTTTTACTATTTTAGTCTTTTTATGACCACCCCGGACCATCTTCTTACTTAAGAATAATTATAATTACATAATTATATAAATTGGCTAATGCCTTATTAGGCACTATGTATAATACACATTTTTAAAGAAATTAAAAATTTATCCGAACTGTGCTTTTATTCAGTTTATTTTATGTAGATAAAAAATAATAAAATCTGAACTATAGAATACATGTAAATCAAAGTTATACAACTTGAAAGAAAAAAAAAAAGATAGAATTTGAGCAACAAGTAGTATAATTAAATGAACAGTTGTATAATTTATACAATGGGAGTTAGTCTGCCATTATGCGGACATGGGGTATCCCTCTAGTTTAAAAAAAAAAAATCTTAAAAGCCCTCCCTCTGGCAGTAGGTGCACCGTGATATTCTAGTGGTAAAATCTACGATATGAATGCCAATAACTTTGAATGCCTTTTTTTAATAATTAATATTCATGTCTGATTTATCTGTTTCAAGTTTGTTTTTAATCATCCATTTGATATGATTTCTCATCGAGTAAAATTATATAAGTAATATTAAATAACTGTAGTGGTAAATCCTGCCTCGTGAATGGGAAAATTTTCTTCAATAGTTTTGGATTCCTTCCTTTATTATTAGGATTATAAGTAATTTAATAAATAATAAATAAATAAAAATAAAAATTTTAAATAAACTTTTTTTACAATTTATCTTATTTGAAAGCAGTGATTTTTAATCTTTTTAGTAGTCAGCACCGTCTTTAAAAATGTGTATTTTTTATTTAAGAAAAAACATTTATTGCATAAACAAGTTGTGTGTTTATTTACATTATACCTACTACTATGTAACAAAAAGAAATTTTAATGGCTATGTTGTTTTTGCTTATTCATAACAATTCTATTAAAAATTCTCAGGTTTTGTACTTGCTAGTATTTTTTTTTTTTTTTTTTTTTCCTGCACCCTAAGGGGGACACACATCCCAGGTTAAGAACCACTGATATGGAGGGATAATTTTAGTCACAGTAACGGAAATATATGAATTAAATATTTTGGATTAAAATTGGTAGGTTTAGGGCCTACCTGACTGACTCTGCGATCCTACCTGCAACATAGGTTTAAAAGTAAGCAATCCAACAAATATTACTCTCATTAACTATGTGTGTGATTGACGATCGCACCTAACTTCTCCTTTAATTAGAACTAAAGTAAGTTATTTCTATAATTCTATCGATATAGACTTATAATACCTGGGGTACTACACTAAAAAACTAAACAAAAACAAAACATTGCTGTCATGGCCATTAATTAAATATTTGCTAAACATATGCAAATAAAAATAGATCTATTTGAGATATGTCGCTGTCATAAAAGGAGTTTAATAAAAATGGTTTCAGAATCCAAAATAAATCATTTCAGAATTTTGAATGAATTGGCTTAAAAATAAAATAAATATTTTTTGAAACTATATGTTTCAATGTAATTAGGCAAAAGAAAATGTCTATTTTCACCATATGTCAAAAACAAGAAACATACATATCATTGTTTATGTACCGCATATTTCATGCCTGGTCAGTTATATGACAAATGAATTTCAAATAAAACAGTAAATAATATATGCAAATGTATTTATATACATATGTAAATGGGTACAAAAGTAATTAAGTAATTACTCACAGTAATTAATGTAGTATCTGAGATTGATTAAAAAAAGAAACACAACAATTTAACACATAAGAATTTACTTCAGGGAGCAGTATCAACGCCAAACTATGATAACAAATGATAGCAAGCCAACAAAAAACCCAATCAACAGATTAGAAAAACAGATCTATCAATAGGGTAAACGAACTCTGGAGTAATATAAATTAAAATTGCTTTGTTTAAACTGTTGAATTAACGTTGATAAAGTTCCAAATGTCTGGAATATAACAAGCTTCAACTTTAGAGATTGAAATGTCGCATTTGTTTTGTTTTATAACTGTTCAATAACCTGCAATCATTATATATCAAATCGCCATATGTAATTATGCAATATACAAGTGACATACTAAGCTCAAAGTGAAACTACCTTAAATCGTAACAATCAAGTAAACGAATATCTCATTAGATATGAAGTATAAAATTTAGCGAGTATAAAACAGATACTTAAAAGATTCTGCTTTAAAGATCAAGATACATAAATAATTCAGATAGAACAAGAAATTTAATCAATTGCCAATTATGTAACTGGTGTTATTTCACAATTGTGGCTTAATGAAAGTTTCTATTTGAACTAGGCGGGTATGGGTAATGTTCTAGTCTAGTATTCCGCTTTTGAACAAAGAACATAAAATCGAAGAACTAATTATTTAGTTTAAATAAAAGACAGGGACGACACAAATACTTTGGATATGTAGTTATAAAGTACTTTTTATGTATCACTTTCTTTTAGTAAATATTTATGGGTTTTTTTTTTTACGTTTTAGTAAATATTTATGTTTCCCTCAAAACAGAGATCTAATTGATGCCATAGAGAGTCGATTCCTCTGAAAGAATCTACACTCA